TTGGGATGCTGGTTTAGGATTCTCCCCTTCTGGCAACTTTTGCAAGACACCGCAATCATTTGCCAGCAGAAAGCTGTGGGACACAAGCTTGAAAAAGACACACAACCAGCAACAACGCAGCATTGACTCAAGCAGAGACCGAACAAAGCGAAAGTACGCGAAACCTGTTTTGGCATCTGCTTCCCAAGTGCGGCTGTGTGGACATCTTTGCGAGATGAGAATCTGATAAGCGCTTCCCGAAGGTTCTCGTGGGTCTCATAGGATCATGGGACTGAGTAACTAGGGTTATAGTTAAGGTAACTATACTTATAATTAGATATAACCCCGCTGAGGATACTTATAACCATACTTATACTAAGTCCCATGATCCTCCAAATAACCTTCTCCTTAGCCTTGCTCAGTTCATGACTTGGGACAGGCCTGTCCTTTGGCCAATTGCTGCTCCATCAGTAAGAAACCTCACTATAAGCCTAAAGCTTGCAACTCTGAGCCCCAAACCAAGCACCGAAGCTCATACATTCCGTAAGACTAGAACAAAAGCAACAAGACATCCTAAACTAAACATTGCTTAACCATAAAGCCTTGGGGTGAAGTCCCCGTATCCTCCCAAAAAGGCCTTATCAGCTGCCGGCGGGTCCTTGGCGGCCACCTGCCAATCTTGTAAACTTCATAAGTTACACTTCGGGGGTATCTCAAGGTTCTGCCAGGGTGGGTCTACAGCAGGTCTACATTTTGCTGACACGCCGAGTGGGTTCGGCGGCCAGAGCGATGAAATGGGCGCTTCAATCGCAAAACTTCAAAGGCCGCTGTGTGGTTGCATGGAAACAGGTGTGACGCTGCATGATTTCGTGCTGTTCAGCGCTGAAGGGGACAGGACAACTGTGGCCACCGTTGTGCCAGGTTGAGATATCTAGAAGCATACTGGGGGCCCAACGACCGTACTTTCTCAGAGAGTTGAGCATTGTACCCTGGTGCCGGCCCAACATTCCCCTTCAAAGTAGGATCTCAGTAAGGGAACCTTCACCTCTTGCCTTTTAGTCGAGACTTGCATTTTCGACCCTGAAGACCTTAAACCTAGACCCTAAACCCTACCATCGATCGTATAATAGGGAGCTTAGGCTTTGCAGATCCCGGGGTTCAAGGGGAAACGACTCTTGGCTCCGGGCCTCGGCTGTTGCTCCCGGCGTTTCAGGGGCGGCGCTGCCAGCATTCGCAGCAGCGGCCGCAGCGGCAGCGGCAGCGGCCTGCTCGGTCGAAAGTCGATGGGCCCAGGTTTAGGAATGAAAAGGTTTGGGATGGAAGGCTTTGACACCTAAAGCCCCAGGGTGGTCTGTGGGTCCTTATCTCGAGGGCTTACGCTCTGACGAAAAGCCCAAAGTACATAAACACTCGTCTGAAAAAGCTAAGTTTCAACGAGAATGGTTTGCGATTTCGGGTACAGGGCCCAAGGTTTAGGGTTCTGTGCTTCAGGTTTAAGGCTTATAGGGGTGGTCTGAGGCTGGGTTAGGGCGGCTGAAAGCAGGTTCGGGGTTTGAGACGCTGAGACACATCAGAGGTCTTGGCTGCCAGGACTAAGGCGAGATCCGTAAAATGAGGGACACCGATTACCCCAAGCATCCAAGTACCGAATAGTCATATCATATACTAGCCATATAAACCCTGAACCCGAAACCCGAAGTCCTTAACCCTGATGGTCATAGGTTAAATCATGCACTCTAGAAGATCCTAACCTACATAACTACTGCCCTATCTAATTATTGGGTCCTTTGCACCCTTGGGGTTCTGGACCTCACCCCACGCACCCAAGCGCTTAGCTTGCTGTAGACTTTGCTATTAAAGGGCTTCCTATGTAGCTACAATACCTGCAGTATGCTATATAACTACTTGCCAACTATCCCTGGAGTGTGGAATAACAGTCTATAAACCCTAGAAAGAGTTTAAGGGTTTAGGCATCGGGATCCTATTCCAGCTCTGTGGCCTGACAAGGCCCATCCTAACCTTGACACATCGGTAAACAGCTCCCACAACCTTTACGGAAACCTGGTCAAAGCCTCTTGAACCCTGACAGCGAACTTTTCCGCGAATAGAACATACAAGACTTCTCAAAATCTATGTTTATGGATAACCACTTTAGGGTTTAATAGTATAAGGGGACCCTAAACGGAAAAGCAAAAGGGCACTGCTCAGGAACCTAGTAGACCCTACACCCCCAAATAGATCCCTTATAACTTACAGAGCCTTCTAAGGAGGGCCCCTTAAGGAGCCGTTTAAGGAACCCTTTACGCAGGGAACCTCAAACTCGGGAACCCTTCCGCCTCTTTCGATCCCGGCTGTGGAGCCGACATCAGCGTGGCTGCAAGGACTTCCGCCGCCGTGGGCTGGTGCGGTACGGGCCTTGGGGGTGTAAGGGCCTGAGTAGTTAGAATAGAGCTCCTTCTAAAGGGGGCTTACAAGGGTTACTATAAGGGATCCATAAAGGTACTCAAAACTTTAGGGGCCTTAAATAATTAGAATTGGGTTTGGGGGCCCACTATACTAGGCCAAAATCGTATTGGCAATTATTGAAGCCCCCATATTAGGGCGCTTTCCTGCGTTTGCTGTGAACCTGCAACAAAGACTTGTGTCAAAGGGGTCGAATCACCGACATTGTTAGTTCATGGCTTTAAAGGCTCGGGGCACAAATTGATTCGGGTACAGGATTTAGGTTTTAACACGGCTTAGGATGTGAAACTCGCACCATTTAAATTGGGCCTGCAGGGTGGGAAGCGCCGTGTTGTACAGGTTTCTGGTTTGGGAAGAGCTTTGCAAGGGTCTAGGCCGGTATCAGGGATTCGCAAAGATCTTTGAGGGGCTGCTATGGCTTTACCGGGTGATCTGCTAAGGCTTTACAGGGGGGCTGCATGTAGAGTCGAGGTTGCATGGCTTACAGATGCTGACAGATAGTCTACGAGTTCTGTGCTTGGCGAACGACTGGTTTAGGGCTCTAAGCCGTAGGAGAATCATAAGCCCTCTGATGTAATGAAACCTTAAGCCCCCACCCCAAACGGCGCCACAAACTGCTCGTTGCCCAGAAGCTGTTGCGTCGCCTGCTGATCCGCAGCCGCCGGCACTGGGGTCGTAGGGGTGGCCTGCAGTCCATTGGGTTTATAGAGCTTAGGGCTTACCTGGACCCTTGAAAGACTCTCTTTCCGGTAAAAGGTATGCTAAATTTCGGGTCCAGTGAGGGTCTAGGGTTTTGCGACCTAAGGCTCAAGTCAAGTGTAGGGCTTAAGGGCTTAGGACTTAGGGCTTGTGGTTTCTTGTCTGAGGTGGGCTGTTCGAACTTTTAAGCACACTCAACCCTAAGCCTTAGCTTAAACCCTGGCCCTACATCCGAATCCAAATTCCTACACCCACCAGCCCGTGTTCCCCAACCCTTTACATCACCCGAATTCCTGAACCCTTAAACCCTACATCCCAAACCCGAATCCTTAAACCCTGAACCATACTTCCCCACACCCTAAGCCACCCGAACCCTAAGCCCTATAAACCCTAAATCCCGAAACCAAGCCCCAATCCTTAAACCCAAACCCTAAACCCTAAACCCCCTAAGTCCCATCCCTAAACCGAAACCCTAAACCCAAACCCTATTTAAACCCTACTTCCCTAAGCCGTAGTAAGCCACCTAAGCGTTAAGCCCTTATCCCAAAATCCATAAGCCTTAAGCCTAAACCCAAACCCAAAATCCATAAACCCCTAAAGCCAAACCCTAAACCAACTAAACCCACATTCCCTATAAACTCAAGCCCTTTTAACCCTATAAGCCCAAACCCTTAAATCAACTAAACCCACATTCCCTAGAGACCCAAGCCCTATAAACCCCATAAGCCCCAACACTAAACCTCCTGAAACCAAATTCCCTAAACTACACTGAACTTAGAACCCTAGCAAAAAAAATAATTCTAGCTGTTTCTTAGGAAATTCTAATACCCAAAACTTATATAAACTATTTCTAAGTACCCCGCAGTAAACCCTTTAAGAACCCTAAACCCTAAACCCTAACCCGAAAAACCTAAGACCCTAAATCCCAATCCCGACCTTGCCTCAGCCGAGGGAGCTGGGGACGAAATCGGAGCCGCAGTTTGAGCTTCGGCCTGGCACTGCTTTCTTCTGTTTAGGGGTTTAGGGGTTTAGGGTTTAGGGTTTAGTTTTGTTTTATACATTACCCAGAGGGTCCATATACACTACTATTATGGAATTAGGTCCCCAAACCCATAATGGGCATGGTCTTTTAGGGCCTAATTCCATAATAGTAGTGTATATGGACCCTCTGGGTTATATAGCATAGTAAATAGGGGACCCTTGGGGTTCCTTTAAAGGGTTCCTGAAAGGGGGTTCTATAAAGGGCGTTAGGGTTATGGGGGTTTCCGAAAATGGGGGACCGTAATATAGGACCCTAAACAGTAGGATCCTTATTATAAGGACCCCAAAATAAGGTACCCCTAATTTTCGGAAACTTCCATATAGCATAGTATGTTGTAGTATGATATAGCAGATTATCGTAGATTACAGCATATTATAGTATATTACAGTATACTATAGTACGTTCTAGTATAGTATAGTGTGGTACATGCTTAGTATACATAGTATGACACATTATGGTATGTTCTGGTACTTTGTTGGCTTTTACGTAAGGTCAGCCTCTACGGTTTAGGGTCTATGGTTTACAGGGTTTAGGGTTTAGGGTTTTTTGGGGTTTCGGGTTTAGGGCTTTAAGGGTTTAAGGTTTAAGGTTTTCGGCTTTAGGGTTTGGGCTTTAATATCGGTTTAGACCTCAGTATAATGTCTGTCAGAGTTCCTGATTAAGGTGTACGTAAATCTGTCAAAACAGGCATGTCACTGTCTTATTTCGGGTTGTGGCTGGGAGGGTCTTCGAGTTGATACGTATAGTGCTCTGGAGCTGTCTACATGGACGCATGTACGAAACTCCTCCCAATGAAGCCCCTTATGCCTGAGCTCATGGCAACAGACTGACTCCCTGCCCTGCCCGAAAATGAGCAGACTGCCTAACCTCGGAGGCGTTGGGCTAAGCCTCACAAGCCTGACACCCAAAATTTACCAAACCCTAAGCCCTAAATCCCCAAACTTCCCAAACCCTAAACTTCTAAACCCTAGCCCTAAATCCTAAACCTTGAAGCCCAGAAACCTGAAGCTTCCCAAATCCTAAACCCTTGCCTGCACTGTCGCAGCCGCCGGGGCCGGTGTTGGCGCAGGTGTTTCCGGGGCCGCATCGTGGAGCGGAAACTGCCTGAGAAGCAGCTCTTTCATGTCCCTGCTTGGACGATCTACGGCTTATAAGGGTTTAGGGACACAAAATCCGGGATTAGGGCTCAGGGACAAAGTCCTGGACGTATGATGTCAAGGCCTGAACAAGTACAACGAATTTTCTTTTTGGAGGAGTGGGGGGTGCAGGGCGGGGGGGCATAAACCATCGTACAGGCTACCATGTCAAGACAGGGTACCCTTCTTCTCTGGGTCAGGTGTGTCCTGACTTCGTGTTGCGACGTTAAGGTCTGAACTCTAAGATAGGGTGCACCCAAAGACACATCAAAATGCCCTAAAGAGAAGTCTCAGCCGAGCTGCTGCACCCCTACCATGCCAGGAGGTGGCGGGGGAGGAGGCGGCGGCAGCCTCAGAAGGCCCAAAAAAAGACAGCGTGTGAAATTCTACATAGACTCTATATATATATATATATATATATATAATATTCTTCTTATTATTATTATTGTTATAGCAATTTTATTGCTATTTTCAGTATTATTAGTACTGTAGTAGGCTTCTTGAAGGCTTAGGGTCTGGGGTTTAGGGTCGCTTTATGAGGTCTGAAAATGGCTGTTTCAATAATTGGGCTTTCCATGAGCGCTGCGCAGACGGATTAGGGTTTAGGGTTTAGGGTTTAGGGGGTAGTGCTAGGCGTTGTTGAAAATCCTGCTAAGGGTGTTGAAAGTTGATTTGGGTTTCGCGCTTGGGGTGTTGAAAGGGCTCCAAGTTTAGGATCACGGGCTTGTGGGATTTGTCTGGAGTTTGTCGGCTTTGGGTTGTCGGGTTTTCCTGGCGTGTTATGTTTTGGATTCATTTTTTATATCCCGATAAGGAAGCTAGGCAGTCCCAGCAAAGAGTGAGATTGAAGCAACTTCCACAGCTGATGCACTCGGGAATCCCCCCAAACTAGATAAGTACACTTCAGTTTCACCTAGCTGCGTTACCCCTTTCCGGGTCACTCACCCAACCTCCCAGGTGAAGTATCAGCGATCATAAAGCACCTCCGATAAGACGTGGCAAGTTACTTCTGACATGGCCTCGCATTGATCCTGGGGTTCTGAGTTCCAACTTAGAGCACTGATCCAGCTGTTCGACTGGATTCCGAAGGCAACACGCCACCCAGAGTTGATGACTGTCCGCTCTGCTGCAGTACTGGCACGCTCGAAAGGGCAGTCTGCACATTTGCGGAGTGTGCCAGCCACTTTTGAAACAATGGACCCAGCGAGCACAAAGGCCACTGTCAGAAGAGCCATCGATGGCTGGTGCCTGCGCACGAGCTTGCCCAAAGAGTCTCCAAAGTTAAGCCCCTAAGGGTCCACGTGAACATGTAGTAAAAACCTCGGCATCAAAGTACATGTGCAGAACCCTTTCAATTCCAAATCCAAACACACCCCAAGCCCAAACCCTACACCCTAAACCCTAAACCCTAAACCCCTAAACCCCAAATGGAAGGACAAGAAGAAAGAGCTTCGGCATGGAAACTTGAAAATCGACACCCCGGTTCGGCATCCAGGCTTTTAATTACTCAATGCCCAAACATCCTGAGGGTTTAGGGTTTAGGGTTTAGGGGTTTAGGGTTTAGGGTTTAGGGTTTAGGGTTTAGGGGTTTAGGGTTTAGGGTTTAGGGTTTAGGGGTTTAGGATTTAGGGTTTAGGGTTTAGTCCAGCAATAAGTCTCAGGACCCATGTGCCCAGCAGGCATATACATTGGCACGGAAGGGAGTTCCATATAGGTATAGGTGAACACGACGTGGGCGGTTAGGGAATACAGAGCTACAAATGTGGAGGAGCCTTTTTAGATCTGGCTGTTTCGCATTTTGCAAGAACCTGCATGTAGGGTATTACTGTAGGGCTCTGCAAACCCTGACTCCCAACACCCACCCATAAATTACCAACGAGACCCCATAAGTGCAATAAAACCTTGCTAGAAGCCCTTAGCAAAACCCACTCAGCTACCATAACACCTTAGAAAGACTGTAGCCCTGAAGATCAAAACCCCTATCCAACACAAGCTCTAATCTCTAAACCTCAGGATCCTTAAGCCATTAACTCTCAACACCTACCTATAGTCTCCATTGTAGTTCCTTTTTGGGGTTACCTTTTAGGATCGTTAATATAAAACTGGTTAAACCAAAAAAAGGAACTACAATGGAGACTATAGGTAAACCTAAACAAGTAAACCCTCAACCACAGAAATCCACCCAGTTGCTGTGTCTCAGCAGCCGCCGGGGCTTCCGTGGCAGGGGTTGGCTCTGGCTGCGCGGCCGTCTCGACCTGCAAAGGCGAATGCCGTGGCTCTATAAGGGGTACTATAAGGGATCTATATAAGGGTACTCCAGTATACCATAAGGGATCTATAAGGGGACTATAGTATACTATAAGGGATCTGTAAGGGTACTATAGTATAGGGGCCTTATGATAATTAGAATAAGGTTTTGGGGCCCCTTCTACTATAACTATAAAAAGGATGCGAGGTTCAGCTAGTTTGAGGCTGGTCTTTAAGCTTCTTGGGGAGTTCGATCTTAGGTTCAGGATGGTGCAGGGTTGAGGATTTTTCGGCGTAGGGACCCGGTCGTCGTGGTACCCTGTCGGTAGTTGCAATGATGAATCATCAAATCCTTTTTGTCCAGCAGTGGAGGAAGTCCAGGACTGCGCTGCCGGACCCTGTAGAGCGGTTGTAAGCCCGAAGAATCGCCAACAACTGTGTCATTTTTGGACATCGGCTGAAGTACGGCAACTTCCATGAAACGAGAGGGTAACTAGCCCGATGGGCCTATATAAGAACCCTGCATGTTGATACTAACCTACATACCACATAGCCCGGCTCAAGGACAACTTTCGGTGATCTTCTGCACCCTACATTTTATGTAGAAGCCTCAAAAACTCAATAAGGGTTCTGGCGCATGTTAAAGAGGTTCAGACTCCCAGAAAAAAGCTGCTTGAAGCTGACGCACTGAGCCTGAAACATGAAGACTCCCGCACCCGAAATCGTCAGCTGTTTCCCCGCCTCTCCATGCATCATACCCCTATTTCAAGGCACTGGACTTAATTAGGACCCCAAGAGACGTAATCGAAAGATTCAACCCGACACTGAATGCCAATGTGAACTCCCGCACGAAATGCACAGAGACCCCGGTCCTTGGCTGCGGCTGCGGCGTCCAGTGCCTGGATCAACGCCGCATCCACGCCGCCCTGTCGAGTCTTTCGCATAAAGTGTGTATGCTTTTGGATATTCATAAAAACTATTCGGAAGCTCTTTGTGATGACCTGCTTTGTGGCGTGGGCACGCAATCGGATGTCACGACTGCTGGTTCTGAGCATGGCGGGGTGGGCTTTTTGTCTCCACATGTTGTCTACCATGAAGCTGACCCTAAACCCTAAACCGACTGTGTTGCATGATGCCCGGATCTGCTGAGCAGAGAGGGATCCTGTAAACTGCATGTAAGTTTGGGGGCCTGGGTAACTGTGGTCACCCAGAGGGTCCATATACACTACTATTATGGAATTAGGTCCCCAAATCCAAAGCCATAATGGGCATGGTCTTTTAGGGCCTAATTCCATAATAGTATTGTGTATGGACCCTCTGGGTCAATGAAAACTACGTTTTGCTGTACGGCTTTGGCTGTGAAGCCGATATGGGCAGGTCCTCCCTGAACCCAAACCCAGAAAACCTAAGCCTCTACCTACAAGATGTGTATATATATATATATATGTATATGTATATATATATATATATACATACACACGTACATACATATATACATACATACACACATGCATGCATACAAAGATGAACGCATGCAGGCAGACACACAGGCAGCCAGGCAGACAGACAGAGATACATGTATACATATCTATGTATATGTCCGTTTCTCTTTCTGTGTATATATATATATATACATTATATGTACACACACATATCTACATACACAAGTTGTTGTTTAAGGTTTGGGATTTAGAGGTTAGGTTACACAGGATATAGAGCTTAGGGTACCGTGTATACGGTGTAGGGCGTCGGGTTGAGTGTGAATGATGCTCATGCCCATCATGCCCCTAAGTAGCTTGACGCCAAGAATACCCACTCTACATAACAGAGAGGGTCCATATACACTACTATTATGGAATTAGGTCCCCAAACCCATAATGGGCATGGTCTTTTAGGGCCTAATTCCATAATAGTAGTGTATATGGACCCTCTGGGTAACCCTTGATGAGGCTTGCTGCAAACCGGCCTGCCCCGTGGCCTCGGCCTGCCCGGCGTTGAGAGGCTCAGGCTTTTACCTAGGTTCCTGCACATCGGTTTCCCAGTGTCTTGCTATGGGAGGAAAAGTTCGCCCCCCTCAAAACGTATTCCACCCAATGGTCTATAGGTCGATGCTTCAGAAGCTTGGCTGTTCTTTGTTGTGGGTCAGACGAGAACGCTGAACATGAGCGTTCACTGCAACGCACGCCTGAGCTCAACATTTGCAAACAAGGATCCCTAAACTGCCCCCATCAAGAAAACATTGAACCTTAAACCCCTGATCCTAACACTCTACATTCCAGAAACCTGACAGACCGTACAGAATTCTTTGAACTTGAAACTTGAAACCCCGTCATCCCCAGGCTCTTTTGCCCCAGGACTCGGAAACCCCAAGACCTTGAACCTCACAACTCCAAGCCCTCACGAAGTTTAAGGGTCTACACTAGGTATGTACCCTTAATATAGCTATTACTATATACCCATTATATAGCCCATTATAGGGTAGGGGTCCCCATTATGGGTCCCTCCTCTTTTCCCCTTTGACAATAATTCTATACAACCCTGAGTCAAAGGAGACCGCGTAGAAGAGCCTCTTTAGCAATCAGGAGAGGGCTTGGGTGTGCTTTGCAGTATATACTTAGTTGATGGGGAATTTAAGGATAGATTTCTGCCAATCATTCCGACCTATGCAGTTCCATTCTCAGAAGGTCCAGCCTTCGGTGCCTCTGCAGGAGCAGGAGTCACTGGCACCTCTCAAAGTGCTAGGTGCTGTACATGCTTTCGATTAGGGTTTGGAGTTTGGGGTTTAGGGGTCTAGGGGTTTAGGGTTTGGGGTTTAGGTTTAGGGGACGCCGCATCTGCGAAAGCAGCTGCGAGAGAATGATCCCGAGCCCGCAACAAAATGGGTCTTGGGCTCCCTGGGAAAACTCCAAACCCCAACTTTGGCCTTAGGATCCCGAAAACATCGAAATCCTAAACCCTGCAGTAGACCTGAAACCCTCACAGGGACATGTATACCTGAAATAGACCGTAAACCACTCCTTCTAAGAAACCTTGAACAAATCCTTTCAAAGCCCCTGAGCACAGGGATCTTTACCTTCAGCATCCATTGCAGTTCCTGTTGTGGTGTCACCTTATAGGACCCTAAATATACAATTGCTTAAACCAAAAAACGGAACTACAATGAAGACTGTACCCTAACTGTCCATGTACCCAAACAGTATATATTTTGGCCCCAAAGCACCTGTATAGGGAACTACTTTATAAATTAAAGCCAATGTATATACTGTTTAAGCACATGGACCCTTATGCCGTAAACCCTTAGAGACCCCTCAACTGAACCCTTAAAGGAACCCTAGGTAGGAACATGGACCCCCAGGGATCGTTACTTTCGGCGCACGCAGCCTCTGCAGGTGGGGCGGCGGGAGCCTCTGCAGCTGCCTGTACGCAGTTTAGGGTTTAGGGTTTCTTGTTTGTCTGCTTAGAGTCTGTAAAGGTTTCTGTTTCCGGTGCCTTCAAGGGTCTTTGAGGCTTATAACTTTCGTAGCTAAGGCAGGTGGGCTTGGCAGTCTGCTTTTGTCAGTTCAGCAAGGGGGCTAGGCTTATATAGGGCTTTGGGATTTATTTACAAGACTACCCATAGCCTCCATTGTACGTAGTCCGTTTTGGTGATACCTAAAAGGACCCTAAACATATGATTGGTAAAAGCCTGCATTGTAGTACCTTTTTGGTGCTACCTTATACGGTTGCTTCAATATACAGGTATTATAGCACCCTAAATACGTAAGTGGTTAAACCAAGAAAAGGAACGCCAATGGAGACTACAGGTAGGCTCAGTGCCTACTACGGCGCATTCAGGTGCTTTTTGGCTGACGTGCCCTGAATAGTGGGCATGTGAGGCCCATAGGGTTTAGGGTTTAGGGTGCTCTAAAAAACTTAGTGGGGGGGGGCTAGGCAAGGTTCTGGGGTTTCAGGTTAGATTTTAAAGTGCTGGTTGCGGGTGTCAAGTTGAACGGCTTGAAGTTTAGGGGGGTTAAGGGCTTTATCAGAACCATCCCGACCGCCCGACAGCGCTTGATTTTGACAAGGCGCAAACATATGAAGTGGAACTGAAGAGGGGGGCAAGAAACGCTACTCAACGCAGCCGCCCCCTAAGGGTCCCTATGACACTTCCCTAGACCCTAAACCCTAAAACCCTAAACCCTACAGTCACCCTACCTCCGGCGCGGGCAACGCCAGGGGTGCGGGTATTGTCGAGTGAATTGGCGGGGGCGGCCTGCAGCTCTTTGATTTAGGGCTTTAGGGTTTATAGGGCTTTAGAGTTTGAGGGTGTTAGGGTTTTGGGCTTTAGGGCTTTAGGGTTTAGGGTTTCGGGATGTAGGGTTTTAGGGTTTAGGGCTTATAGGGTTTAGGGTTTTGGGGTCTAAGGCTTTCGGGTTTTAGGGTTTAGGGTTGAAGGGATTGAGGGGTTTAGGGTTTTAGGGTTTAGGGTTAATAGGGTTTAGGGTTTTTTCGGTTTGGGATTCGATTTCGTTCCGGCATGGGAATGGAGATCGGATAGTTCCATTACAACGCTAGCATAGAGGTTTAATACGGCTCTTTCTCTCGCGCATTCAGTTCTATAAATGTCTACGGGGTTTACGAGGATTGCTTGCAGTTTGCAGCACCTGCATTCCGTGAACGTGGTGGTGTGCAGGCTTTTCGCAAGGTTTGAGACCTACGTGTCTCAAAACAAACAGCTATGTCGGGTTTCCAAACGAGCGTAAGGGAAGGTCCGGAACGCGATGTTGACCCTTACGACTTCTGTTTGGAACCCATCTGCATGTGGCCAACATCGAAATTTACAAACAACCGTGTGCAGTGCACAGGGTTCCTAGTAGGAACTACAGTACCCGTTGTTTATTGTGATTTGGGAAGCATCCACGGTAACGGTACAAAGGACCCGTGGGGATTCTGCCAGCAAAGCAAGCACTACCAGCCCAGTGGCGGAGGCATCGCGCTCGCCGGAAAGGTTTGGGCCTGGGTTGTACTGAGAAGATCAGGGCACCGACATTGTGTGATAAGCTAGGCTTGAAATACTTTATTTGAGAACTTGCATGAACAATGACACTTAGAACCTTACTACTCCCTCTAGTTGCTGAGTCCTGAGTATGCTTTGAGCTTTGCCACGGTGGAGCTTGGATGCGCCCTGAACAGTCTATCCCACAGCTTGCCCCTTGCACCCTAAACCCTAAACCCAAACCCCAAATGTCCCTAAACCATCAACCTCGGATCGCTGCATCCGGTGGTTGACGATGCTGCTTCCGATGATGCTGTATGGTGATCATGCCGCTCAGAAAGATACGGGTGATGATATAAATCCTGCATTACCCATAATAAGGAATATACCATAATTCCCATAGTTTAGGGTCCTTAAGGTAATGCGGGATTTATGTCATCAACAGTAGGAGGTATTCAGTTCACGGCTCAGGGAGAAAGATCGCTCTCAAGGTAGTGGAGGAGGCAGGGACAGGTCAGATTGAAGCCAACCACGCCTATTTCGGCCCTTGAACCAAAACCTCAGTCCCTTAGAGCCTTAACCCCGAAAACCACTGAAGACTTTCACTGAATCTAATTAGATTGACTCATGTTTACCTTAGCATTCAGGGTTGAGGGTTTGGGGGTTGTCGGGTACGAGGCTGTAGGGCGGCAGAACAAGCTCTCGACGGCTGCATGGAATATGCGCGATGGTTCTTGACTCTTGTCGCTCAGCACCGCTACCACGACGACGATCTAGGGTTGTGGCTTTCACGGTTCAGGGTGTTACGGGGTTTAGGGGGCACCAATACAAAACCCTAAACCCCTAAACCTTCTAAACAAAAGGCCCATGAAGGAAGGAGTCCGGGAACCATGTCCTAAGTTCCAGGCAGGCTGGCCCATCATGGCCTTTTCCAGATGTGAACAGAAGACAAACAGCTGCTAACAGCTGGTTTAGAGCCGGTAACAGCTGGCTTAGAGACCCTTCAGGAGTGAGACTGCAGAGTTTTAGGAATTTGAAGGGTTGTCAGTTTGAGGTTTAGGGTTATGTAAAGGTACGAGTAGGTATTACTACAACGGCAGCTAAGATATTTATAAGCAAAATCGCAAGTGGTGATGGAAGTTAGCATCAGCGGCAACGGTAAGCTTAGAAGCAGCAGCCAGGGCAGCTATCCGGGGATGTTTGCTTTTATTCGGCACTTCTGTGCTGTGGAAGCTTCTCGACCATTATCATGCTCGTGCATTGAACCCAGCCGGGCTCAAGGGTTCTCTTCGTAATGCTTCTTTGCACCTTCTGATTTTGCCCGGGCATGGAGAAACCCCGCGAGTCTATCGAGCGTGGCTGACACAAAGCCGATACCCAAATTGGACGCTACTCTTGCTCTACGCACTTTTCAAACCCACGCCAGTGCGAATCGTACTTGAGGAACAAATGCCCATATGCTCCGAAGACGATGGCAATGCAGCACACCAAGTTTGCTGGAAACCTCCATGTCGTGGTGTAGGGTTGTGATAGAATGCACTACAAGGGGCATGGCAACGACAGAATGCATGATGCTAACATTGAGAGCCGTCATACTCTCTGCGGCTCGCTCTGCAGAGCCAGAAGCTTGAGATTTCAAGTTTGCTACAAGATACATGAACCCCCCCGCCCGCCACCCCAACCGTACAAAAATGATGAGAAGGCTTCACGATGCGTGAAGTCACCAAACTTCCAGAACCCTCCCAGATTCCGTGCCTGCATCTGCGCAGCTTGCAACGGTGCAGTCTGCATTGGTGCAGCTTGCATTTGGGCAGCTTGCAGCTGCGCAGTTTGCATCTGCGCATTTTGCATCTGCGCATTTTGCATCTGCGCTGCCTGCATCTGGGCCGCTTGCAGCTGTTGAGCCTGCATGGCCACACTGTGCATCTGCAGCCTAAGGGCACTGAACATAGCCCCTCACACATCTATGACGGCTTGTACAGGTACTGCTGGGAGCGGACATCACCGCGTACATCGATCGTGCCCCATTATCCTAATTATCTGATAAGCGGTATCAAGCTATACGTACTTTCATAGCGATATGCTAGGATAGAGAAACGAAGGCACCTACCGGACTGACACATGTGCCCGAAACCCTGTTCCAATTATTCCAGGGCCCTGCTTTAGGCAACTGTGCTTCCAGGTAAGGACCCCTGCTTGCACAGCATGCCTGCATCGCATTTTGCCACTGCAGCGTCTGAACGTCCATCTGACCTCTGTCTTCGAGCTTTCGCGTGCTTAGGACAAGAGACTCGCAGTGTAGGGGGTCAGGTTTCTTGTACGTGGTTCCTGATCGATGAGATCACTGCGTACTTGTACGTGGTTTGGACAGCTTCGCGAGTTTCAATTGGGGGAGGGGGTAAACTTGTGACTTTGTGCTCTACATACACCATCATGAGACTTATAAAATACTTCGGGCGAGAGGATCAAGCTGAAGGAGCCAGTCTGGACCCGCCCTTCAGTTTCAATTTCCGTTTTCACGAAATGTAAAGACAGTTGATTATTCCATTATACATGTTGTATGGCTTTGCAAGTGCTGTAAAAGGCACACGCCGTCCTTCAGGGCTCATGCATGTATACAGTACATTCGTTGGCTGTTTCGCAGTAGAAGGTCCTGCATCACTACTTTAGGGCCAAAGCTTATACGATAGAAGTCTGGGAACTTCACCCATAGTTCCTTTTGGGGATTCCTATTATAGAATCCTACAAGGTAGTCCCAAAAAGGAACTACTTTGGGGCCTATGGGTAGTGTGTAGTAAACTAATTATACTTGTTTAATGGGAGGGTAAGGCGCTCAGAGCCCCACAGTACCAACGCCCCATCAAACCACAACGGAACCCCACATTCATACACACATATATGTATACTATAGGAACCCCGAAGAGGTGTTACTGAAACCCTAAACCCTCAACCCCATCCAGAAAACGTAGGCTGGAACAATGCTTCTCGCTGACAGGTGCTTAGCGATTTTGTTTGGCTGGTAGCGCTGCTACCCCCTGAGGCCAAACGTGCTTGGGGGATGAAGGCTTACGATGTTTTACGCCTTAAGGCTGAGGTTGCCTGAAGGATCAGGGGGGCTTAATCAGTAACTGAGGTTTCAGTTCGTAGCACAGTTAGGGTTACACATGAAGTAACCTGGCTACATGCATTTGGGTCCCTAGTTACTACGTCCCACGATCCGTTAAGCATGAGTTGCCTGATGCTGCTTTAAGCCTTAAGTTCCCGGCTCCAAGTAAGAATTGCAGACCTGAAAATGTCTATACTGAACTTAGAACCCTAGCAAAATCATAATTTTAGCTGTTTCTTAAGGATTATAACTACCAAAAATAAACATTCAGTTATTTCTAGGTACCCTAAGTTATCTCCCAGCGGCCGGGCATCATCTGCTGGTTCATAGCCTGGACGCCGTAGGCATTTTGTGCCTCCAGTCTGAAGCTTTTGCGGGCTCAGGGTTTGTCAGAAACCTTTCTCCTGAATCGCGAAATCCCTAAACCCCGACTAAACCTTACCCCTGAGTCGCAAAATCCCTGAACCCCGACCGCCTACAACATTAAGCATCTTAAACCCAAAGTACCCTGAACAACCGTCTATACCTCGAGCCCGAACAGGCCGTGCCCTCGCTGTTTCAAGCATATCATATGCATGGTTGGAAGGTTCAATGGCACATTCCAGTGGGAGCAACTTCAAACCGGAGCCGAACCCAAATAGTAGGACCCTTATAAAAAGTACCCCAAAATAAGGTACAAGTTGGAGTTCATGGCTTGTCAGGAAGTTCAGCCATGCGATCCCTCTGGGCCCCAAACTCAGAGCTGGGATGATGCAAGGAATTTTGTGAAGTGTAGTTTGTAGAGCATTACGAAATAGGTGAGTGTACAGTCAGCGGTGTCAATATCGTGTTATGACAACCACACTGCGTGCAGCGTACTCCGTGACATTGAAGTACATATACATGTGCAGGAAACCCTGTGAGTCCAGAGCATTTAATATACTGGTATAATAGATGAGTATACGGACCCTTACCGAAAAGCCCTCAGCTTTGTGTTTGGGTTGTTCAGGATACTTTGGCCTTGAAGCGGGTTAGGCCGGTCAGGGCTTCCGGGAATGTCGGCTGTAGGGCCTCAACGAAAGCCCAGGGCCTGTAAACCCTAAAGGGAACTCCAGAAAGTTGGAATATGGTTTCATGGTAGGAAACCCTATAATTTACCATGGGTGAGGATAATCATATTCCAACTTTCTGGCTTCTACCCTAAGCCCTGAGGGCGACCCGGAGCCTGCATTGGCATTGCCATGCCATATGCATTCTGCTGCATCGCATAGCCTGGTGCCCGAAGACCAAATCATCGGCCAGAACAAACTCTCATCAGAATTTGGGGTGCAGGGTTTCGTTTAGACGCAGGAAACCCTAGTTCACATGACAAAGCTTCATTCAAGCCCCGCCAGACTAAGGTCCAGAAAGACCCCCATCCGTTCCCCATGGCACCCGTACCCCATCCATCTTAACGTCCGTGTTCGAGATTGAGGTTCAGAACCAATGCGCGGCCAGCACGGCCCTAAAGCCTAAACCTTGGGAGGACAGACACTGGCCTGGCTTAACATGCAGTTCTGATATTATCACGTAGGTATGAGAAGGAAAGTACTGTTCCTCATTTTTGCCCCATCTATTGCCCTCTTGCAGGTGTGTACCGAGGTCATTGAACACTAAGCAGAAAACGAGCAACTGCCCGGACCCCCGTATGAAACAAGCCCTACCCCAAGACTGAACCTGTGATCAGGGACCCAGTAAGTCAGACGAACTATGTGTCCCATGACCTGCTGAGGAAACTCGAAGTACTCACCGAAATACGGTCGACAAGCCCGAAAAGCCGGCACGCAACCTCCTTGTGCCATGCCATAGCCCTGAAGGCCGTAGGCGGGATCCATCTGTCGAAGTAGCGGGAACAAATCATGGCGTGGTTTAACTGTTGATGCGTTGATGATGACAGTTGAGATGGTACCAAACTGTGTATCCCTGCTGTGCATCCCGTTCCTGTCCGGCCCGAAGAGAGTCCAGGAACACACTGGGACACTTACAAACATAAGACGCATACCCTTCGACTCACCACGATACTGAACTGGGAGTCCGTAATGGAAAGCTGCTTCCCACCTGCTGCGCACAAACGACCAAAATCTCACACTCTGGAAAGTAAACAGCTTGAGATTCCGTGTTGGTGTGCTCAGGGGTTGGACACCTGAAGGCCCTAAACCCTGTAAGCCCCGAAACGAGACGCTCTCAAGATCTCTCAAGCCTAGACATATGGTTCATTTCCCGCAATAAAGTCCGATCAAGAACGCGTCAACGTGGCCTTGCTGTGGAGCCGCCGGCAGTAGGCAGAAGTCAGCTCATAGGGGAGAGAAACAGATGACTCGTCACGTGCTGCGCGGAGCTTTGGGCAAAGCTTCCGTTGGGTTTAGGCTGCGGCTGCTGTCTGGAAACCTTTAACCCCACACCCAAAACTACCCAAGCCACTGAGCAAGTCTGGAGGGGGCCTAGCTACAGACTTTACGTCGTCGGGCCCCTGTAGTCTAGGGCTAAGAGGGTCCGGGATTTAGGGTCTAGGGTTTCGGTTGCTATTGTGATTTGCATGACTGCTTTTGCTTAGAACACCTTGGCTCCGGCTGATCTTGTTGAGTGAGGGTCCTAGACTTGTCTTGGAAGCTCGGTGGGAGGAGGGGGGCGTTTGGGTTGAAATGACTATTTGTTACTTAAGCCATACCTGGGCCGGCGAGCAGGAGCAAGAGATGAGATCAAGGAGCTGATGTCCTACACCAGCCTGGATCCTAATTCCCACAGCCCTCAAGGCTACTGGCGGTAGTGACTCTAGAGAACCGCAAGAAACCTTAATTGGGGTTATAAGTAATTATAAGTACAGTTACCTGAATTATAACCCTAGTTACTAAGTCCCATGATCCTTTAAGTACAGAACCCTAAACCCTAAACCCCAAAAACCCTGAACCCACTTTCCTATGAAAAGCTCAACCCTAAGGCTCGGAGTTTTTTCACAGGTCGAAGGTGCCTCAACATTCCTCATACACTTCCTGACAAGCATCTGGAATTTAAGCGAATATCTCAGATGCAGGGTCTGGAGAAGAAGGCTTACAACCCCATAAAGTTGGAAACCGGATTAAGGCCGAATCGTGCTGGGATTCCCTATACATTACTCTCAAGGATTGAGGCTATGGGGTTTCCAACTTTTGAAGGGCTTCTACTATACTCTGTTGACAAGCACTTCGGGGAATACTCCTGGGGCCCGACTAATTGGGAAAACGTTTTGGGGAGATCATAGTAGGATGATTTTGCAGGGATGCGAAGGAGTAAGGGACTGCGATTAAACCTATTGACCATTGCAGGCTCGGGGGCTCAGGAATAGGAGCCAGGCTTTGGACATGCAACATTATTGGAGTCATACCAAAGAGCTGAATAGGTCGATAGAATGACACGACAAACCATCACACTACTCCATATCTCAACCACACATGGTATGAATTAAGGACATGGAGCAGCACCCCCCCCGTGGAAAAACCACAAATCAAAGTTTAAATGCTGAAGCCAGAACCAACTCTTCAAGGCCCCGAACCCCTGAAGATTATCCTCAATCTTGTTCCGGAAAATTGGGGACCCTAATATAGTACCCTAAGTAATAGGATCCTTATTTTTCGGATCCCAAAATTAGGCACCGTGCATCCGGAGTGTTCCTGCAGAGTTCTGATGGCCGCACCCCCCAAAGTTCCCAGCAAACCCGTCGTATGACTGCTGAAACCTGATACCCTGCGTGCACAAAGCGAGGGATAAAAGCCAAACCCTGCACCCAAAGCCAAACCGCAAGCCAAACTTTCTTGGGCTCTTTGTCCTTATTGCCAGCTTTCTGGCTGGTCCACGGTGAGCTTGACGGGCGAGAGGAAGACTTTCTGCACGCGGGTTTTGGTGGTATATTCTACAAAAATGACGATACTTATACTGGACTATGAAGCAATACTATATGACATTATATGGCTAACCATGCCGACCCCTTTATCGCAGACCTGGCACGCAGGCTTGAGCACGAGCCATGTTTACACTGAGTATCTCATCATTGAGCGCTGGATACCGGAAGTCATCAGCCCAGCCTAGACCCTCCGGGGACTAAAATTTTAGGCGTTGTTTGAAACAACTACTATTTTAGGCGTTTGACTTAATTTTAGTTGTTTGGATTATTTTTAGTTCCTTTGGGGTTGGGCTGGGTTTGTGACAGACTGCTTCAGCAACAAGCTCTCGAATCCCTTGCCGTCGCTTGTTTTCCTGCAACAAGAGCGAACATACTGCACTTCGGAGAAAGACCAGTCGCCAGCAAGGAAGCTTAAAGTTATCCTTGTAGAGCACTTAGAATACTAGATTGATTAAACTCCCCTACAAATCCTATAGAGTGCAAAGCAGCCTTATATAACAACAGAGTAAAACCCTATAGTCCTAGCTATATATAACTATATATTATATCTAGCTACTACCCTGATTAAACTCCCATACAAATCCTAGAGTGCAAAGCAGCCTTATATAACAACAGAGTAATAAACCCTATAGTCCTATTTAACTATATATTATATCTAGCTATATATTGCATGTATACTATGTTAAATATAACCCCAAAAACCCTGTGACCCTTAGAAACCAGAATGTTGAAACCCCATACACCCTGACCACAAAAGACCTCGAGCCCTGTAAAACTCTGCATGCGTGGTTCCATGCTCTTCGAACTGGTCGACTGGCCCGCTGGGAACCTAGCTAGCAGCTTTCCTCTTTCGAGGATTGGGATTCTTTTTGAATCTTCGGTGTAGAGCATAGCCTTTGGTCAAATACAGCTCGAGAACTCTTCGACACATGTTTCGCTGATGCATCTTCCTCCCCATTCTGCATATCCTGCCAATAAAATCTTCGTTCATCTCACAGTTGGTCATAATGAGCGAGGGTATTCTTTGCAGGTTCCGTGCCAAGTCTGTCCGGAGTGCATGGGTGGCATGGTGAAGCATATGCAGCTTGGGTTTCAGCCCAAATGCCGAAAGCTGGTACTTGTGCAAACAGGTGTAAGCCAGATAGCCATAGGTCCTGATAAACTTCGAACCCAGATCCAAACTGGTTCGGGCACATGGCCTCGCCCACCACAGCGAGTGAGCATACATATGTTTAAGCCACTTGTTTGCAGCATCTGCAGCTTGGTAGATGGCTTCGAAAGCATCCCGATGGCTCTCTTCTTTAATGTCTGCCTCGCATGCTTTCACCAACACCAGCAGCCATTGCACCAGCAGAACCGAATCCGAGCCCTTGCTTTTGGCCCAGCCATAGTGTTTTCGGCTAGGCCGGTTGAGAAACTGCTTTGTAAATCCCTGCAGATTGGGAGATTTTCCAACAGTGGCGCACCAAAGCTTGAAATGCCCATGCATTCGTTTGAGAATAGTGGGGAAGGAGTTGTTGTTCTGCGAAGACCCCTCGTTAAAATAGCCGAATTCGGCTATGACAACGATCGATCCTGCTATAAAATCCTGTAGAGTACCCACCTTCAGATTGTGGAAAATGTCTCGGCGTAGAATAGATTCAGGGCGATTCGCATCAAATGGCAGCAAACACAGTCCACTAGCAGGCTCCTGGAGCCAAGGCCGCTGTGTGAAAATCGAAGGAGCCCAGCTTGGGTTGTCAGCCAGATCTTCAAAGGGCATCGCTGAGCAGCCTGCGAGGCACTCGTGGCAACACATTTGATCAACCTTCTTGCTCAGCCTGTTATAATGGCGATCCAGATCAGCGATCTTCTGGAACCATGCCATGTCTCCTTTGAGGCCAATAACAGCTATGTTCCATATGCGGCGACCAACTTGAACCCCTTCGTAAAACAGCGATCGCATTTGCGTGAAGATCAAACGAAGAAGTCCTTGCAGCACACCTTCCTGCTTGTAGATCTTGTTCGGCATGAGAAACATGAGAAACTTGGTGAGGAAGGAATGAAACTTCAGGTTGGTGGTCTGGAAATCAGCTGGGCTGGGCTCGAGGTTGTTCTGGTCGCAACAAGGCCATGAAGCCCCACATGGGACCTCCTTATGTGTATCCAAACCGAAAGGAGTCTCCATTGAACAAACGGCTATGTTTCCTTTTCTAAGCCCTCTGCCCTCGTCACCATGTATTATCACTGGCAGCGTAAAGTTGAGGTCCAGGTCGCCCGATTGAGCTTGTTGAAACACCATGTGTTCTGGATGCCATTGCCTGTAAGATGTCCAAAAGCTGCCCAGGAGTTCTCGAATCTTGTGGGGGCTGTCATAACCACCAAACAGTAGGTCGGGAGCCTTTTCCAGCATACGGGAAAAAATGTCACGAGGAGACAAGAATGGAACTTGAGTTTTATCATCGTGGTCATAGACCGAAATAGGTATGCTCCACCGCAATCCCCATCTTTTCACAAACCTGTCAGCAGTTCTGAATGCGTTGTTGTCGGTGCTTTTCTGCGGGCCTAGGCCCGATGGCATGTCAGCGGATGCCCTGGCAGCCAAGGACTGCAAAGTTGATGCTGGAACCTGGGCGGGGCGATAATTATATAAGTTTAAGTAATGCAATATGGCGGATGATTTCGGCTTTCACCTGATGACTGTCTGGCACTTTCATGGATTGAGAATCTGACACAATCAGCCAGTGCTTCTGCATAAGTGGCAGCATGTGAATCATCAGCTGGAGTAGGATCAAGTCGATCTTCACCTGGCTTGCCGAGATACTGCATGTTACAGGTTCTTCGTAGAGGAGGTTGTCTACCATGCAATACGTAGCGACTGCAGTGTGAACCATTTGACCTCATGCGAGCTCGCAGAAAGATCTCTAGAGATGCCCCCCATGTACAACTTGAGAAGTGTGCTGCACAGCTTTCCTAGGA